AATTTCTGGCTCTGCACAACTCCCTGACAGGAGGGGACAGCTGGGGGATCAGGCTCTGCTCCCAGGGAACAGGGACAGGAGGAGAGGGAACAGCCTCAAGTTGCATCAGAAGAGGTTTAGATTTGATACTAGGGAAAAAAATCTTCTCCAAAAGGGTTGTCAGGCATTGGAAGGGGCTGTCCAGGGCACTGGTGGAGTCCCCATCCCTGGAGGGATTTAAAAGAGGCACTTGGGGACATCCAGGCCTTGACAGTGCTGGATTTACAGTAGGACTCAATTATAATAAAAGTCTTTTCCAAACCAAATGATTCTCTGATTTTGTGAGCTAAAAGTGAAGTTAAAAGCAGAGAAAAATCCCCTGTGAAAATTGAAACCACGTGTTTGGAAACCGAGTCCATCCTGACATCTCCATGCCACATGCACAGAAATTAATGGGCTGTGTTTAGCCATGCACAGAGCAGTTAGATTATAAACTTATTGGGAATTTGACACTTACATGAATTCCAGTGCCATGATAGTGAGATGGGAAATTAATCATGTTGTGTAACCTTACAAGCAGAGCAATTATTTGGTTATTGGACCATTATTACAGATTTCATTATGCTTTGGTTACAGTGGATGTCTCAACACAAGGCATGGGAACAGCTCAAAAGTGATGTATTCCTAAATTTAATTATTATTATGAGTGTCTAAAGTGGAGCTATAGTGGATAAAACTATATATAGTGGAACTAAAGTGGAACATATATGGAGATGTAGGGTTGGGCCTGTCCCTGTGCTGGAAATACTTAATTTCATCATCTCCAAATCTATCCCATCTTCCAGGTCATGAGTGGGATCTATGAAAAGCTTTTAAATAAGGTCAAGGAAGCCTCTTTGACCAGGCTGGGGAGAAGATCAGCTCTTGCTGTGTGCAAATGCAGCACAAATCAGTCAGCAGCCCTCCCCACAGGTTGTGTCTTCTGGGCAACATAAAACAAAAGTGCCTGATAAATCTGTCACTGGGAAAATCACTTTTTATCAGTCTTCTGTGGAAGAGACCTGCAGGAATCTCAGTGTAAATCTCTTCCTGCTGCAGCGCTGGTGGTAGCCCCAGTAACAGCACCAAGGATTAAAGGAGGATTTTCAGGTCTCAAGGTTTCATGATTGATGGATTGAGGCAAATCTGAGCCCACATTTTTTGATGGATGCAGTGTCCCAACTCCATAAATAATGGCCAGGAGCTGCATCACTGACCAGGATTGCATGGGGTGTCTTTAATATATCTTTATATATTAAATATAAATATGTCTTGGTGCCCTGCTCCAAACCTCCCACACCACAGGAAGCTGCAGAGTTTGTGGGTACGAGGGAGGAACGTGGGGTCTGCACAGGGGTTGTGTCCATACACAGGACAGGGTAGGGCCTTTAAAAAGTCCCTTCCAACTCAAACTATTCCATGATTCTGTACTATCCTTTTCCTTTTGCCCTGTCCCAGGGAGGGACAGGTCAGGTCTTGTGATAGGAATTCTTGTGACTGGGGCAGTGAGACTCCAGTATTCCCAGTCCAGCTGTGGCAGGTGGGATTTCAATCACTCAAGTGCTCCTTTGTACTTCTTTGGTCTAAATCCTTCCTGAACCCAAATCCTAGACCTGTAACAAGCCATATCCCTACTAAAGAAGGCAAGGGAGGCTTGTGTTGGCATTTCTGTGAAGATGATTGCATTTTTTTATAGAGTTTTTATTGCATTCACAGGAGGTGGATCATGGATGTGTGTTGGGTGTGTGTGCACCTCAAAAACTCAGGACAATTCCTGTCCAGCTAAGCTGTTCATATTGAGCTTGAGAAATTCATCAGCTGGTCCAGACTGACATCCTTCAGGAGTTATGAATGAGTTATGGCCACTGAGGAGAATGATAAATGTATATTTAGTGCACATTCAGCTCTGAGCTAATTAGTGCCTCCAGCATCTGAACTGTATTTTTATAGGTGGGCCATAAAACTGATGTAGTGACCAGTTGGCCCACCTAAAAAATGAAGAGAAAGATGTTTTTCTCAGGGCTAACATTATCCAAAAGTAAAATGTGCTACTGGGCACAAGGAAAAAGCCTGGCAGGGTTGTTTCTCTGTCTTCTTGTTCCCACCCCTGTGTCCCTTCTCTTTGCCTCTTCTTCTTGACATCCCTTGAGCAGATCTAAGACAGGCCCCATCCTCAAGCAAACTTCTACAATAATCAAGATTAAATGTTCTTATTGACCGTGAGGAATTTGCAGAGAGGCACAAATGTGTTGGGGCCAAGGAGTTTGTCAGGAGGGGTGAAGAGGCCAACGCAGGCAGAGCCAATCCCAGTGTTCAGCCATTGGAAGCACACTTGGAAAGGGAGGGATTTTCATGGGGAAAGCAAATGGCACATGCCTGATGCATCTCTAACGAGAGGAACAAGAGAGGAGCCACTTGAGTAGATGTGCCCTCCACAAAATCAAGGGAAAACCCATCTCACTGCCACATCTCCTGTGGACATGAGCAGAGCAAGATCCCTGAGGAGGGACAAGGGAATAAGCTGTAAAGGAGCCTGTGGAAGAATAGAGAGTAGAAGAAGCAGTGATGTAATTCAGCTTTTCCTCTTGAAAATGTCTGTGCTAAAAATAGCCCGTGTTAGTTTTTCAACAGTGGCACATCATGAAGTCTGCTCTTTATGAAAGAAAATAAATTCTAGAGCTGTAATGGCTCATCTCTGCCCTGTGCCTGTCATCTAAAGGGTAAGGAATCTTACATAAAAGAGGATTTTATTCCCCAGCATTAAACCAGCCTCTCTGAGGCTGAATTTAATCAATCAGGAAGGTGGATACCCATTACCAAGTGCTGCATGGAATAAAGTTTCCCAAAAGCCAGGAAGGGCTGTTTTCCAAATGTGCCACAAAAAGGATCAGTGGGATCATTGATAATTGCACCTCTCATAGAAATACCTGATTTAAACTTACCCACTTTAGGCAACAGTAACAAGCCCAGGCACTGGAAAAATGTCATTATTTAATTTTAAGCACAGGACATTGCATCCAGCTCTGTTCCAGTGCAGAACTCCCCTGTGCCACGGGGGATCCCTGGCTGCAAGGCGTTACTGCCATGCACTCAAAATGGTGCACAAAAAGGTCTTTTCTCCTGGTAAAACCAAAAATCCCAGGAGTGGTAGGAACTGCTCAAATAAATAAATATCCCTCAGCAAGGAGCAAAGAATTGATCTGCTCCAGGTCCTGCAGAGAAGAAGTTGCCAAAACCCAGCTGCTGCCCATGTGCACGGAGAAATAAAACCATAAAATCATTAAGGCTGGAAAGACCATCTGGATCCAGAGATGATCGGATCCAACTGCTAACCATGATCCACCTCAGCTTTGTGACAAGCCACCACCACTTTAAGGGAGGAATTAGTGACAGAGACTGCCACAAAACTGATGTTTGACAGCAGTGGGAGAAGAGGGGATGGATTTGGATCTGCAATTTCTGCTGCCACAGCCTGAGTTGAGCCCAGCTTTCTCTCTGTACAGCAATAGCTCTTCAAGGTCAGGCAGGAAATCCCTTGCTGAGAGTCTCTGCTGGGCAGAAATCAGGGGCACTGTTTGTGAGCAGCCTTCCCTTGTCCTGTGAAGCCTTGCAGTCCCTTGTGCTGTGCTCCAGCCTCCTGCCTCTGCCATCAGCTCAGTGCAACCACCCAGAAGCGATCCCCTGGTGTACAATCCCCAAAGGAAATCTTTGTTTTACAGACAGGTGGTTGAGATGCATCAAATCTGCCCCCTTAAACCTTGTGTTTCACTTGGGAGCTGCTGAATTAGGGCCAAACCCCGAGAGAGTGAAGCCATAAAGGAATTCAGATCCCTGCTGGCTGCAGACACACCAAGCAGGCACTCAGGCTTTGGGGGAAAGCAAGGAGGGGTGGCAATGTCACACAGCCACACACAGACTCAGGGGGAAACCAAAACAAGTGTGGTGCTGCCATCAGGGTGAGGCTGCTGCATCCCCAGCCTGTGCCAGCTCAGCCCTGTGCCACCTCCCCTCCTCGGCAGTCCTTGAAGTCACACACAGAATATTCTGAGTTGGAAGGGAGTTCACTTGCTGCTCTGCCTCCACCTTCCCCATCACCACCCCGCAGCAGGTCTGTGTTTATGCCGTGCCTCCCAGGAGGGAGCTGATGTGCACAGAAGTTGATTATCAGGAGCCCAGTGTCACACACTGATGAGTTTAGGGAGGGCTGAGGGTGGGGACAGCCCCTCCCAAAACATGTGGCATTGAAAAAACTCTTTCCATGCTTCTCCTTCCAACCAGTGTTTCATAGCAACTGCTTCCAGCTGGAGAGGAGTAGAGGGGAAAATGGGGTCTTGTCACTGGTGTTATTATTATTATTATTGCTCTAAATTAAACATTCTGCACGTGCAGGACAGCAGGGAAGTGCCAGGGGGTGAGAGCAAACACTTGCCCCAGAAAGTGCAGGGTGTCACCCAGGCAGACCCACTGAAAGCAAAGGGGCAATTGCTGAGTCAACTTCTCGAGGATGTGTAATGATGCAGTGGGTGAAAAGTGTCAGAAATTTCCCTGAAGTGTCAGAAATTTCCATTTGTATTTATTTCTTTGCTAAGAGAACTGTTCCCATTACCTGTGCAGCAGTGAAATCTCCACACAGCAAGTTACTGTGTTTAATTATTCATTTCCTGAAGGTAAACAATTCACCTTCCCTTTTCAAATCTCTCCCTCTCCAGAGCAATAAAAGCTGTGCATGCTTTTGTGTGCTTACCCTGCTTCTCCTGCTTATTCTTTATTTTAAAAATACACATCCCAGTCTTTCTTTTCCTAAAGTGGAGCAACTTTTTGTAGACTTGGCTTTTCACCATGGAATTCATTCCAGGAGGAGTTCAAAGCACAAAAGCTGTCCCAAAGGTACACCCAGAGCAAGGCTCACTGGTCATTTGGTGGAAATTTCTTTCCCGTGGGGACATCCTGCTGTTCACCACTGCTCATTTCTTCTCTTCCAGGTGGGCTGCAAGGCCATGATGGTTTTCTTCCAGTACTGTGTCATGGCCAACTTCTTCTGGCTGCTGGTGGAGGGGTTGTACCTTCACACCCTGCTGGTCATCTCCTTCTTCTCGGAGAGGAAGTACTTCTGGTGGTACATCCTGATCGGCTGGGGTAGGCATCTCCTCCAGGATGGATGCCAGGAGGGGACCCTGACTGGTGTTTTTAGGGGGATTTAGCACAGATGCCTGGGCTCTCAGGTGGGGTGGAGATGTTGTAGACAGCACCCAGCCTCCCTCGGTCCCCAGAAGGATTTGGGGTGGCCCAAAAACCCAGCTGTGTCCTGGGCTGCATGGAAAGACACGTGAGCAGCAGGCTGGGGCAGGCGGGTCTGTGCCTCTGCTCTCCTCAGCTGAGACTCCACCTGCAGACCTGCAGCCAGCCATCGGGCCCCCAAAATCAGAGCCATGGGGAGTGGTTGGAGCAGAACCAGAGGAGGCCATGGAGCTGCTCCAAGGGCTGGAGCCCCTCTGCTCCAGAGCCAGGCTGTGAGAGCGTGGAATGGTCCCCTGGAGAAGGATCCAGGGAGAGCTCAGAGCCCCTTGCAGGGCCTGAAGGGGCTCCAGGAGAGCTGGAGAGGGACTGGGGACAAGGGATGGAGGGACAGGACACAGGGAATGGCTTTGAACTGCCAGAGTGGATTTGGATTGGATATTGGGAAGGAATTCTTTGATCCTGACTGGGATCCCGAATTTGGTATCATGGATTGATCTCAAATTCTAAGGATGGATCCCAGCAAAGCAGAACTCCTGGACTGAACCAGACACTGAATCCAGGCCAGCCAGGTGCCCTGAGATCCCATCACCTGTGTGCTAGTGCTGATAACCTTCTGCTCCCTGCACAGCCTTTATGCAAATCCAGTCTCAAACATATCAAATTAAATTAAATTAAAATCATGTCATGAAAATAAAATAAAAATAAAATAAAATAATAAAAAATAAAATAAAATAAAATAAAATAAAATAAAATAAAATAAAATAAAATAAAATAAAATAAATAGAGGACCACAAAATAAAATAAGAAAAATGATAAGGAAGAGAGAATCAGGCTCTTCACAAATTAACTCACAACTGAATTGCTGACTTATGCAAATTAATCATACCAGATCAACTTCTTTTATTTCTCCAAAAAGGAAACACAGATCTTTCTTCCCCTTTCATGCCATTTAGTTGAAGATTTCCATTTAAGCAAGCAAATAACTTTCTACTGCCAGCTCTCAGTAGCTGAAACTCAGAAATAATAAGAGCAGGGAAGAATCTGGAGAAGAAGAGGTAAAATAAAATTGTGCCATGTCCAGGGACTCACCTGGGCTCGGGATTTGATCAATTATCCATGGAGTATCTTCCATTGAAAGTGACAGGAGCTACACTTGGCCTCACACTGCAAAGGAGAGATGATTCTCCCCGCTCTGGGCAGAAGGAGGGATGATGGGATCAGGTCCTCCTTCAGTTACTCAGGTCAGACCTTCATTAAACTCACCTTGTGCTCCAGATATTCTTTATTTCAGTGCTGGAGAGCTGGCAGGTTTTAAAGAAAAATGCGTGAAGGTGACGATTTAAATCAAAGGAAATTTCCTGGACTCTGATGTGTCCTCAGGTTGCTTGGGTACAAAAGGGCAATTCCAGGACGTGGCAAATGCTGAAGAGAACTTTTGGCCTTTCAGTCATCCATCATTTGCAAGAGCATCAGGGATGGATCTGGAATGGACTACACATGAATTAATAATTTGGATGCGCTAATTACAGTTTTTACTGACTTTAGTATGATTGCACTTGGAAATCACTGGTAATAAAGTGTACACCCTCTGTGAGGTAACACAGAGTGAACAGACATGTCCTTCCTGGAGTATTTCCAACCTAAATCCAGTTAAAGACAAGAGAGAATAAAGAGCCAGCAAAAGGATGGGACAAGCAAAGGGACAAGACCACCCTAACCTGGCAGATCATGGAGTGAGGAGTAGAGGCAGCTTCACCTCACCAGCTGCAGACAGCTGAGTGTCAACTTGGCACTCCAGTCTCCCTTACAGGGCAAAAGACTCCAGGGATATTTCATTTTTATTGTTCTAAATCAAACTTTTAATGTTGCTGGATGAGCTGTGTGTGAGAAACATGTAATTCTGCCCTTGATGCTGAAGAGAGCCTGTGGTGTGGTACCTCTCCTTAGGTACAGGTGTCCACACTGTAGGTGTCTCAAGTGATCCTTATTCCTTGCTTTTCACCCCTGGAAGCTTTTTCTAGGCACTGCAAAGGGAATATCAATGTGCTGGGAGCAGAGTGCAGTGTGCAGAGAGCTGACCACAGGGAGGGAGAGGCAGCGTGGCCTGTTTGGCATGTGAGGGTTGAAAGTGTGAAGTGTTTTGGCAGCCCTGAGAGAAAGGATCCTATCAGTCACTCAGGAGAGATGGGCAGTGAGGGAAAACAGCCCTGAGGAATGGGGTAGATTTTAAATAACCTGGTAATGAAATCAGGTAACCATTTGATCATGATTTCTGACAGCAACACCATCTCTTCTCTCCCCAGGTGCCCCCTCCGTGTTCATCACTGCCTGGACTATTGTCAGGATTTACTTTTTCGATGTTGGGTAAGCCTCAATTGCACTCAAGTGCACTCAATTATCTTTCTTTTATAAATCTGCTTTCCTTTATGGCCAAGGAAAGCCCTGCAGCTGTAGTAACCCAAAACTCAGCAGCTCCTCAGTGGCACCTCTCCCCTGCCACCAGGAACCAGGAAACGCTCCAAGGTCTCCCTGAAATGTCATTTTAGGCAAATCACTCTCCCTCTTTCCTTCCCAGTGCCTAGCTCAGGATATTTGCAGGGAATTGTTGAGCAGACCTTGATGGTTGTATTTGGCCCCATGCTCAGAGCAGAGCTTTGCACCCTGCAGAACTGACACTAAACATCAGGGAATTAATAAATACACCCCATTCTCTCCCACAGAAAAAGGCCCTTCCCTTCCCTTCCCTTCCCTCCCCTCCCCTTCCCTTCCCTTCCCTCCCCTCCCCTTCCCTTCCCTTCCCTCCCCTCCCCTTCCCTTCCCTTCCCTCCCCTCCCCTTCCCTTCCCTTCCCTCCCCTCCCCTTCCCTTCCCTTCCCTCCCCTCCCCTTCCCTTCCCTTCCCTCCCCTCCCCTTCCCTTCCCTTCCCTCCCCTCCCCTTCCCTTCCCTTCCCTCCCCTCCCCTTCCCTTCCCTTCCCTCCCCTCCCCTTCCCTTCCCTTCCCTCCCCTCCCCTTCCCTTCCCTTCCCTCCCCTCCCCTTCCCTTCCCTTCCCTCCCCTCCCCTTCCCTTCCCTTCCCTCCCCTCCCCTTCCCTTCCCTTCCCTCCCCTCCCCTTCCCTTCCCTTCCCTCCCCTCCCCTTCCCTTCCCTTCCCTCCCCTCCCCTTCCCTTCCCTTCCCTCCCCTCCCCTTCCCTTCCCTTCCCTCCCCTCCCCTTCCCTTCCCTTCCCTCCCCTCCCCTTCCCTTCCCTTCCCTCCCCTCCCCTTCCCTTCCCTTCCCTCCCCTCCCCTTCCCTTCCCTTCCCTCCCCTCCCCTTCCCTTCCCTTCCCTCCCCTCCCCTTCCCTTCCCTTCCCTCCCCTCCCCTTCCCTTCCCTTCCCTCCCCTCCCCTTCCCTTCCCTTCCCTCCCCTCCCCTTCCCTTCCCTTCCCTCCCCTCCCCTTCCCTTCCCTTCCCTCCCCTCCCCTTCCCTTCCCTTCCCTCCCCTCCCCTTCCCTTCCCTTCCCTCCCCTCCCCTTCCCTTCCCTTCCCTCCCCTCCCCTTCCCTTCCCTTCCCTCCCCTCCCCTTCCCTTCCCTTCCCTCCCCTCCCCTTCCCTTCCCTTCCCTCCCCTCCCCTTCCCTTCCCTTCCCTCCCCTCCCCTTCCCTTCCCTTCCCTCCCCTCCCCTTCCCTTCCCTTCCCTCCCCTCCCCTTCCCTTCCCTTCCCTCCCCTCCCCTTCCCTTCCCTTCCCTCCCCTCCCCTTCCCTTCCCTTCCCTCCCCTCCCCTTCCCTTCCCTTCCCTCCCCTCCCCTTCCCTTCCCTTCCCTCCCCTCCCCTTCCCTTCCCTTCCCTCCCCTCCCCTTCCCTTCCCTTCCCTCCCCTCCCCTTCCCTTCCCTTCCCTCCCCTCCCCTTCCCTTCCCTTCCCTCACCTTCCCTTCTCTTTTCTTTTCTTTTCTCTTTTCTTTCTCAAGCAGATTTTAGGATCTATCCTTCATGCCTTTTAACCTAGCAGCAGCCTTTGATATTTTGCATAAGAAGCAGATAGAATGCAGCTAAGAGAAGGAGGCAGATACCAGAGTTATCCAAGGATGTGTGCAAGTAAAAAGGACTTGATCCTGAAATCCTCATTGTTGCTTTTATTCAAGTGGTCAGACTGCAGTAATTGGAAAGGGTTTTATAGGAAAACACCCCAGAGAGATGCAGAATCAAGTGTTTATTCTGTCCTCAGTGTGCATTCACTTCTTACATTTGCATCTTGGAGTTAAGTCCACTTTCTCCCCTCCAAATGCATTCTTCCCCTCCAAATGTGTCCTGATTTGCCCTTTTTTGGGTACGAGAAGCATCTTAGATTTCTCACTGCATTTTTGATTTATAGTCATGCCAGCACATTTCCTGAGGGCTACTCACTTCCTTTATGGTTTCACTCTATCTGCATAAAACTGACCTTATTTACTCTGTTAATAAACAGCCTCTAGAATGAGACAGAGACAGGAGGGTTTAACCATTCTGGAGTCAGTTTTTCTTACTATATATTCCCATTTAGCTCCAACAATTCTTAATAAAAACACAGAATTCTTTGCATTTTTCTGAGGGCATTAAAGCCCTAGATTTTTTTGCTGAGTAAAACAGCATGAATTTACAGAATATATTAATACCTAACACAGATTTTTTTTTTTCTCATTACCTGCAGAGAAAAATTACAGGAAATTAATCCAGATTAAATAAAACCTAATTAGGTAAGATTGGTTAAACAACACCAAGCCTTTATTTAAACATTCTAACTCCAACTGAAAGTGACCTTCATTTAGACTGTCTCAATTTATTTCAAAAATGAAGTGCACTAGACATAATTAGGGCCACTTTAATTCTAAATGAAAGGGCAGCATACACCTCACTGGAAGCATCTGTATGGGAGCAATTTGCTCCATCTACCTGTAGATTTAGGGCAGATTTAGTCAATGTAGTCCATGGACTGCAATTTTTATCATCCTAAAGTTGATGCCTAAAATGGGTCTCAAGAACTGTGCCCTAAAAGTGCCTCTCTTCATTTCCTACTGCCTTCACTGAAAACATTTGGAATTAGAGGAGCTGAATCTGGGTGAAATTGTCTGCAGTAGGCTCCACTAACCTGTTCTTACATGAAAGCAGCCCAATTTCCATGCTTTCCTAAAAATGCACCTTCTATCACCTGGGTGTGCAGATAAATGTGTCCCAAGCAATATCAGTCATTTCCACATCAGTCCTTTCCTCTCATTTCCTCCTGGCTTTCAAATGCAGTCCCAGGTGAGCAGTGGGGTGTGCAGACAGCTCCGGCTTCAGGATGAAATAAATCCCACCCTGGACCCTGTGGACTTTTCTAACTCAGTCCATAGCTCATGTGCAGCTTGCTGGATTTAGTGGGACCAATCCCACCACTGGCTGTTATTTTTTTTTTCAAAAGGATGTGATGTTTTTGTGGGTTTTTTGTGGTTTTTTTTTGCTCTGTGCTTATCAAACCCCCTCCATCCAGGATGGTGGAGAGCACCGGGGCACTGATGAATCTTTCCATTGATTTTGATCGATTTTCATGGTTTCCACAGAATTTCCCTGCAGCAGGGCTCACTGTAGGAGAAATTAAGAAAATCACCATCTTCCCCCACATTCACCCTGCCTAACATCCTCCAGCCCATTCCATGGCCAAGGGGAAAAAATTGGCATTACATCTGGGATCTCTGGTACCAACCAGTGTTCACAGCCACTGCAGAGCAAATTTTGGGCATTCCCAGTCCATGCACACGAGGTTTAGTCCTCTTCACACAACCCTGCCTAGCAAAACCTAGCTTTTAGGGAAAGGTGAGAAGGTTACAGACCTGCTTGCTTGCTGTGCTTGATGTTTTAAGTCTGGCTTTGTTTCTTTTTAGGTGCTGGGAGGAAATAGTGGAATCCCCATTCTGGTGGATCATTAAAACTCCTATTTTGGTGTCTATTTTGGTAAAGTATCAGCACATTCTGCTGGCTGCAAAGCCATCTTTAGTCCTAAGTGGGGAGGGGTGAAGGGGTGTTGAGAAGAGTCCTGTAAATGTCCATGGAACATGCACTGCCAGGTAAAATCCCACTGTACATTAAACATTTGCCTTAGGATGAGGAAATTCCTCCTCCTCCAGATAAACACCTTCACCTGTAGCATTGACCATGGGAGGAGTTTGAGTGACCAGGGTGGAGCTCACCTGATGGAGCTTTGGCCACCTCCATCTCCATGGCGGGGTGGCCATGGGAGTGCACAAGCAGAGATTGAGGGATGTGCTTGGACATCCAGGAAAGGCTCATTTTGCCTGAGGAATCAGTGGATGCCTGAATTCCATCAGATGACCTGTGCTAGGTTTTGTTTCTCGGAGCTGACCAGGGTGACTTGTTCAGTTGTAGATGTCAACACTACCAAGTAACGTGAGAAGAGTCCTACCATGAGTTTCCACTTAGATAAAAAGGGAGTAGATGAATTCCCTCAGGAATTTGCCTCTTGCACCAGAACAGAGTTGCATTCCAGCTGAGTATTTTTGGAGTAAGTTCTGCAGAAGCTTGGCTAATTTCCAGAAAAATCAAGTTTTTCTATTTTAATTCTCTGGATATGATCAAGCCTGACCATGGAAACCAGGACACTTCCGAGGAATTCTGAGTCCTTCCATCCTGGTTGAGCATTACTCTTTGGGTATTGAGCCAAACCTTAAAATCAAATGAACTGGAGTTAAACTTAGCTTTGAGTTTTCTTAAATTAAATCAACAATGTGGGAAGGGAAGCAAAAAAAAAAAAGCAGGAGAAAACAAATCAAATATATCTCTTTTAAAGAGAAATCTTTGCTTAGATATTCTTCCTATTCCATGTGCATTATGACCTTTACAAGGAGATATTTCTTTTTTCTGTAGCATTTATCAGGCAGAGATTCCCGACTGAAAGTTTCAATAATGACATTTTGCTCTGTTTACCTCACTGGAAAGAAATATAATTCTTAGATGACACATCTCCCAGATATTTATGTCATCCTGGAAAGCTATAGATAGTATTTTCCCTTTCCTAAGATAAGCTTTCAGTCAAAAAAAACACACCCTTTTATTCTCCTCGGATCAATGGGTCTGTATTTTCTTTTGGCCAATAAATCTTTTCCTCATTGCCAAAAAGAATTTACCCTGATATTCCTTCAGCAGATACCCTATAAATCTGTCCTAAGGAAAAGGCATGATAGCCACTGGCTGATGAACATCAGGTTTCTCCAGGGGGTAATGCAGCATTTCCTCCAAATCCGTGGGAATACAGCTGGTATCTCAGTGTAAGGAAGAAATACATATAGGAGATCTATAAGAGCTTTAAGGTACATGAGATATATCTCATGTACAAGGTGTTAAGCACTGGGAACACATTGATCACCTTTGATTATACTCTAGGCATAAAAAAATAATCTAAACAACTTCTCCAGTATCCTGACCCCTGTATCTTCTACCATGGAATTCCAAGGTTATACCAAGCCCATATGTCACACTCCACTCCTTGTTTGCTTTTGATTGCTCCAAGCCCACAATCAGAATTTAATTGCTCCATTCCTGCCTTCCTTGCAGCAGCTTGTGTGTTAGCAATGCTCATGAATGTAATTGATCTAGATAATATTGGTTTGGACTAATAAATTTCACGTGCAACCAAATCAGACACACAAATAATTTTTTTTTTTTTGAGGAAATAAATACAAACAGAAACGATGATAAATGGCTCAGGATAGGTAAGAAGTGATTAAACAATGCATCATAACCAAGAAGTGGGATTAATATCCAATCATAGGCTTTGAAAAAAGAGTGTCTATTTGAGAGATGGGCTTCAGTCTGTTTTATTCAGCTATTGCTGTGATAAGTGTAAGAATTGCTGGAAGAAATCTTGTAATCTATTTTTGCAAGGAATCAGATTGGCTGATTTAACACAATCCCTTCCAGCTGCTGAGCCTCTACAAATCAGAATCGTTTGCACATTCACTGACCATGAAAGGATAGCAAAAGGGGTTGTGTTCCAAACTAAAAGTGAACTAAGTCCCCAGAAATCTGTCATTGCTTTTCTGTTGTCTGTGTTGCATGAGTAACAGGATGACTCAATGGAGAGGACCTTGAAAGAATCAGGTTTGCATTCAATTCATGCCATCAGGACATTCCCATTCCTAGCTCTACACCTTTGCTATTAAATAGGGCTCACATTGCTTGAGCACACTGGTAGAGCGCTGTGAGATTTTTGAGGTGAAAAGAACCACATAAAATCTGAGTACCAGCCAGACTGCTCTGGTCTAACATCCCAGGAAGGGAACATTCCCTGCTGCCCTGGTGATCTATCCCTTGCTGCACAAGGTCTCCAAACATGTGAGATGTGTGACAATTTGATGCCTTGGAGTGTGAAACAGGCTAGACAAGATGAAGAGAATAAAAGAGGGTATTTATTAAAGGCCCTCAGTGGGAACACCTTGGGCAGTCAAAAGCCTCTGAGGGGCTACACCCAAGGTGGACAACAGTCACAAGTTTTTCATACTATAAGTTTTCATATAATTTTTACATTTTTATGAGTTTTTACATACATAATAATAAGTTTGGTCCATTTACATACCAGGGGTCAATCCTCCAATTACAGCTTCAGGCAATGAAGCCATTTACCCCAAGTTTGCCCCCTCAATTCACTGTTTGCATCCCTCAGGTTGAGACAGTGAGGTGCCCTTGAGCTTCAGGCCTAGAGAGGAACTGGGAGGAGGCCTAGAGAAGAGGCTGTGGAGTTTGAGTTCTGTACTAAAGCAGTACAGGATCTGAGACATACGAAAGCTAAACCCTACGGTATCAAATAGGATTGAGCAGAGGCCCGCTGGAGTGGATCCTGCTTGGTGTTCTGGTTTGGTTTCCCTGGCTCACCACGCTCAGCAGCCGGTCCCATGCCAGCGCCTCCCGAGGGCTCTGCCTGCGCCGGGCGCCAAGGCTCCTTCCCGCGCGCGCTGCAGGACGTCGTGCGGAGCTGTGCTCTATGGGCTTGACATCATCATACTTGGGATGTATGACACAAAGTCCCAAGCAGGCTGATGTCAGGCCCAAGATGCCATCCTGTGTCGGTTTCCCATGTGCTCCCCGCCCCCGGGCGGGGCTCTCTGCTCATGGCTTGTTAAACAGCAGCAGCTCGTTCCATGGCAAAAACATTCCAGTGAGAGGAGCTCCCCTCTAGCGATGGGCTCTTTCCCCTGGAGGAAAACACTGATGTTTTACCCCTCTCTTCCCATCTCGGCAGGTGAACTTCATCCTCTTCATCTGCATCATCCGTATCTTAGTCCAGAAGCTGCATTCCCCAGACGTTGGGCACAACGAGACCAGCCAATATTCGTAAGTCCCAGACTTTTCCAACCCTACTCTGTTTTTTGGGAAACCTGCCTGGCTGCTTGATAGTTCATTACAGAGCCTTGGTTCGTGATTGCGTCTGTCTGCACTGATCAAAATCAATTAATTTTAATTGCTTAAAGCAAATTAGAAATCAGGAAACGGAGCATTTGCTAAAACAGCTGGGCAGGTTTTATGTCAGTTTGTGGCAGGTGAGAGGGATTTCTCCTGAGATTAATGATGAAGAAATGAGAGTAATAATAATGATCATGAAGCCAAATATAGTTTTTCTTCAAATATTTAATATTTATTAGATTCTGAAGGCAGAGGGGCCCTGATGGAAAACAAAAAGTTCTTCTCCACAGTATACAGGCTTTTTTTTTCCCCCTGATCCTCAGTTTTAAAGAAGGAGAGATTTAGAAAATTACCATTCAGTAGGATCTAAGACAAATTTCCCTTATCCTAAAAGAGATCGCTAAACAAGATTGGATTAACTCAATACATTTCTCTTCTCTGTTGAGAAGGATCACTGTCTTAGAAGTTTTACTTGACTTAATGCTTTTATTCCAGGGATATGAGGGTTGACCTCAATGAAGCTTTATATAATGAACAACATGCAAGAGAGATCAACATCTCTCTCAGTGGCCAAGGCTGGTCTCAGCTGCAGTATTTTAAGACTGAAAGAAGTGTCTATCTGCCTGGATTTATTCTGGCTTCAATGCAAATAAAATAAAAGTCCAGAGCAGATTATTTTTGACTCTTCTCACTGTTCTGGCTCCACTTTTCATCTATCCAGGATATAAATTAAATATTTCCTAGGAAATAATTAAATGAAAAAAGTCCAGCATCTGCACGGTCACTGCTCATAAATCTTTGTCTTTGGAGGGAGCTGTGTCTTTGGGTGCACTGAAAAAATCTCAGTTCATCTTCCTGCAGGATGAAAAACAATATGTTCCTTAAATTCTGCCTAGCCATGGCATTGAGATTTTCTCTCTGGTGATGGTGAATTATTCATTTCATCTGCCTTGAGAGATTCTCGGATTTATGAAAGGAAATGCCAGTTTTTGACCTTAATTTTCCTGGCAGCAGCCAAAGCCAATTACCTATTTTTCTGTCATCACAACACACCATTACCAGACCCTGGGCTTTCTACAGCCTCCCCTTCTGGATTTCCAATTGGGAATTTTATCTTTGCACCCCAGGTTGGCAGCAGGTGCATTGATTAAATCAGCATATTTAATTATGTTCTAGTACTGAGCAGCGTCCTGGCACTGCTGGCTCCTGTTCACCTCTGCAAAAGTGCTGCCAACCTGCATCTGAAGAGTTAAGCGCAGATTATCTCAGAGGTCATGCTGGGCTTTGGGTTCAGGACACATTTTCCAGTGAGGTGGGAGCTTCCAGGGAAGCTCTTTTTTGCCTTGTAAACAAACGTAGGGAGTGTTGGTGAAAGAGTTCCCCTCAGTGACCTGCCCCACAGGGGGTTCTGCTGAAGGACAGCTGATCCTGACATCTACAGATCCTCCCCTTCCTTCACCACCTGGAAACATGGCTCAGCTCCATTAGGGGAATGAATCAGTTGCTCCCTTCACAGAATCATAGAATCACACAACATTCTGGGTTGGGAGGGACCTTAAAGCTCCTCCAGTTCCAAACCCCTGCCGTGGGCAGAGCCACCTTCCACTATCCCAGGCTGCTCAGAGCTCCTTCCAACCTGCCCTTAAAGCATCAGGTTTCCAAGCCATATGAGGTGCTTCAGGACACTCCCAATACTTGCTTGGACATGTCACACAGGATATAGGATCAATGGGACACTTGTCCCCTTGTACAGTGGCACCTGGCCACCAGCCACATCGGGCTGAAGCAGCTGGAAATCTCTGTTGACTTTATTCACTGCAGTAGGTACAGGACACCACACTTTCCTATGGAAACAAATATGAATTGTCTGAAACTGAAGGTTAGATCTCACCAAGGTGAGTTATCAGCGTGGTCCTAAGATTTTTACGTTTAGACAGCAATCTTGGAGACTTCTGGGGTCCAGAGCCTGGGGTTTGCTCTCAGGACCCAGCAGCTCTTAGCAAAAAAACTGCTGCTGATGAAACATTGAGGAACTGGGGGTGTTTAGCCTGGAGAAGAGGAAATTCAGGGAGTCCCCATCCCTGGAGGGGTCCAAGGAAGGCCTGGATGTGGCACTGGGTGCTCTGGGCTGGTGATAATGTGGGGATCAGGCACAGCTTGGACTGGATGGTCTTGAAGGTCTTTCCCAACCAAATGACTCTGTGATTCTGTGTGGGTTCCTCCTGCCAAGTCTGAGACAAATCTGTTTTAAACTAACAGCACCCTGGATATCTCTTTAGCATTTTTCCCTCCTTCTCCTGTGTATTTTATTTTGTTTTCTACAAACACAGCCTGCTGACATGCTGACAGCATTGTTCAGCTCCAAAGGGCTGAGTTTAGCTGCAGGCTGGAAGTTCAGGTGTGCTGCTGACTCCCTCATTAATGCTGCAAGGCAGGGAGCTGGGCTTTCATGTACTGGAAGCTCTAAAAACAAGTCTTCCAAAACAGTTTTCTGGAAATGACAGGGACATGTGCAAGAATGGGACAGCAATATTTCAAGCAAATAGAATTTATCTTCAGCAACACAAAACTTGAGCAAAATTCATCTCTCCATTCTGTCCATGTCTGTGGATCAATATCATCATCAGAGTCCTCTGAGTAACTTTTCCATTATGATTTCAGTGATTGAAATGTTGGTTCGCTCTTGCCCACTCCCAAGGACAGGAGCAGGTCCCATGCAGGTTAATGGACACTTGTTTTCCCAAAATTACCTGTCACCACATAAATGTCAGAAAGGAGAGGTCTAGGGTGTGCTGGGAATGAGAGTAGTGGCGGTTCTGAGAATCCACAGCTTTCAGCAGATTGAACCAGCTTTAATCCCCCAAGCAGTTCTGCCTCCTGCACAGCCAGGCTTGAGCTTCCTGGGAGAAATTATGCTGTGACTGGGTGATGATTTTCCTGAGTGCAGTGTTTAGGTGGTGGAGTCTTTTAAAAACCACAGAGCCCTTGCCTTGATGCCAAAATAAAATCTAAAACTCACTATCTGGTGAAGCTCGGTGTTGGGAGCAAGAGACTGGTGTGAGGTGTGTAGATTGGAGGAGGGGGCTCAAGTTTTGTCATTTATGTCCTTTTCATTACCATAGTCCATCCAGGAGGGAAAATATTGTAATTAAAGCCCCAGTGTTGTCTGCAATGATAAGATTTTCTAATCCATTGGAGGTTGCAAACAGCATCTCTGTCAATGTGGTACACAAAGGTAGCACCACATCTCCTCTAGGCTGATGTTCCTCAGAGAATGGGGAGAGAGGAGAGATCTCTGCAAAGCCATTGTTGATATTCACTGAACTGCTTGGGAAACGAGGGAGTTCTCACATGTCAGGAGCTGGGAGGATTAGGGCTTGGTAACACCAGGTCCCACTGGCCAGAGCTGCTTCTGGGAGTAAGGAACAGGGATGATGATCACCAGGGACAGTGATAGTAATGTGGCAGAGCAAGGCATCCAAGGGCGCTCCGATCTTGGATCCCTATGAGCCGGAATGTTCCTGCTAGCAAGGGATGTGGGAAAGACAAACTTCTGCAAAGTTCCTCAGCTTCCTGCTGGCTCTCATTTCTCCTGGGGTGAGCCACAGCCTCCAACCACAGCCTTAATGTTGAGCTGTCTCAGGGCCGGGCCCAGGGAGGAGCTCTGGGAGACACAGGGATGAGCATCCTCTGCTCAAAGCTGCCACATCAGCCTCCCAGTGGGCTCCTGCAGGTGGCAAATAAGTGAAGATGGTCTGAGAGGTCTGAGCCTGATGAGGCTTTGGAGGTGGAAGGGTTGCAGGTGGAAAAATTAATATTTTCAACATCCCAGACTTAGCTTTATTTCCTCCAGAAGCCTCTGAGAGAGGAGGAGATGTCACAGGATGAGTGACCAAGGGAGACAAAGCCCTCACAAGCATCCTTAGACCCTTGATTTAATTTTCTTTCTGCCAACTACTTTTTAATAATGATTACATTTAATACATTATCATCTCCTCCTAATTAGACCCCTGATTACCCAGCATGATGCCATTAAGCCTAATACTGTTCGTCCCCCTCCTTTGGAGACATTCATTGTGCAGTAGCCTGTCATTATTCTGAGCTAAACATACCATTTCTCTCCCAGAAGCTGTAATTTTCAGAAATCCCAGGCAAACAAAGACATTGCTAGATGATGATTTAGCTTGTGGCGAGGAAAAAAAGATCTCTGGTGGGAGGGGAAGAAGAGAGGAGGGAGAAAGAAATACCTCCAGTGGAGCTGCTGGGAATAAAAACATCACATTTTATGGTGCCACCAGGTCTGAAATCACCAGCCCTCTTCAGTCTGTGGGACAAGGAGAAATGGTAAATTTTCAGGGATGTACAGGGCTCAGCTGCAGGATTCCTCAGCCTCTTACCCTCTTCCCTCTCCCATCGTGGCTCATGTTTTTCTTTCCAACAGGAGGCTGGCCAAGTCCACCCTGCTGCTGATCCCTCTCTTTGGCATTCACTACATCATGTTTGCTTTCTTCCCCGACAACTTCAAAGCAGAAGTGAAGCTGGTCTTTGAGCTCGTGGTTGGGTCGTTCCAGGTAAGCCATTTGGGTCACCAGGTTTGTCACCAGCTCTGTCACCAGGGACAAATGCAGCGAGCTGGACATGGGTTTTTCCTGGATGTGCCCCATACTGCTCTTGTACCTTTGTGGAAAATCTACTCGCTCCAGCCTGGCCAGGATGAAAGATAAATTTGTATTTTGCCTTCCAGAAGGAGATTCTCTTCCCTCATTTTAGGAAATGAAAAGAAAGTGTTCCTCTGTACATTAATGTCTCTGTGTTTTTTCATAGCTAAGGGAGAAAAAAAAGCACCTCAGTTCAGTTTTTGTGATATTGATGTGTCCAGGGCCAGGGTGGATGGGGCTTTGAGCAGCAAGTTTCATTCGGTGGTGAATGATTAACATCCCTGTCTACATCACCATCACTGCACATCTGGCATCTGGAAGTGCTCAAAAACTGTGCAGATGTGGCACTTGGGGACGTGGGTTAGTGATGCACTTGGCTGTGCTGGGGGAATCCTTGGGCTTGATGACCTTGGAGGTCTTTAACGTAACAATTCTGTGATTGTGTGATCTCTCCTTTGAGAGAGGAATGGATCTACACTCTCTCCTTGTCTGTAGTGCTAAAATTCTGTTTTCTCCTTTCCCAGGGATTTGTGGTGGCTGTTCTGTACTGCTTTCTCAATGGAGAGGTAAGACCTGACCATCAATGGTTTTTGGTTAATGTTTGCAGCTAGGGGGAAATGAATGCATGTGGAAAGTGGATTGAGCAGTGTTCCATTCCTGAGCCTGATGTTACAATACTGGGGGGAGCATCCAAATCACATCTCCAGGAAAACAATTCAACCATTTGCCTGACAGTTTTCAGCACAATTAATAAAAACAATTAATAAACATGTCAGGACTTGTGTGTGCACTGTAGCATTGCTGCTGAGCCCATCCTTTCTTCGTGAGACAGCATCAGCAGAACTCCTGTGTGAACTTGCACAATTCCTGATCCCAAAGGACCACCTTCAGCAGTGCAGGATAAATCCCATCTAAGCCCTGCTCATGCTTAGTCCCTCCAGGAATCCTCCCCAGATAACACCCACCGCCAAAACCAGCACAGGCATTACTGTGATTTGTTAAACACAGGGCAGTGCAGGCGAACGTGTTTCTGCCTTGCAGGAATAATCTTGACTTTCCCACATTTTAGTCCTGGCACTCTCATCCTGGGATTGTGCTATTCTTGTGTTTGTTTATCCCAGAGCCCTTCAGACACAGCTGTTTCATCTAATTCATGCTGTTACCAAAAAATTTGCACTGGAGGGCTGTAGGAGGGGACAAGGACAGTGGCCAGGTTTGTTCAGGATTTGGATTGGGACAGCATAAACCAGGTTATTTCTGTAAACTCTCTGAGCAGCAACAAGCAGCTTCTGTCAAAAAGAGCCCAGCTGTATTGACAGCTTTACAAAACAAGCTGTAGTTAAATCATTTCTATTTGGACCAAAAACAGGGCAGTGAAAAATAAAGCATCTTAATTATACTCATAAAGTTAACTGAAGTTAAGCAGTCTGGCACCTTGACTCTATCAATAAGAAATTCCCTTCTGATGAAGCTCAGGGATTTCTGCTCCAGTAATTTACTGGCTGGAGTGTCCCCTTTTCATGGCTAAAAGTTCAGCCCAAGCCAAGTTTAGTGGCCTTTATAAAGTGATTCTTGGCCCTGTGGCAGGTGGGTTACCCATGGCTGCTCACACAATCAGGGCAGAACAGCACCAAGTGATGCCCTGTGCTGCCTTTTCTGTCTTTCCCATGTCCAGGTGCAAGCTGAGCTCAAGAGGAAGTGGCGGAGGTGGCACCTGGAGCGGTTCCTGGGCTCGGACATGAAGTACCACCACCCTTCCCTGGGCAGCAACGGCACCAACTTCAGCACCCAGATCTCCATGCTGACCAAGTGCTCGCCAAAGACGCGCCGCTGCTCCAGCTTCCAGGCCGAGTTCTCTCTGGTGTGACGGGGAGAGGCTCCCCAGGCACTGAGAGTCCAAAACTGAGACACGAGGATCCCTGGGAACCAGTGATCCCCTGACAAATCCCTGTGAAATGACCTGCTCCACATGAGCCAACAGAGGACACGCAACTGGAAAAGCCGCTGGCGTCCAGAGTGAGATCGGACAAGCCAAGAGGCAGAGAAACACTTTTGTTCTCCCTCTTTTCAGGCCTTTTGCTCTTCAGTTTCAAGCCCTCAGGGGTTGATAACTCTGGGGAATTGTCCAAGTTGCTTGAGGACAGCCTGGGAGATGCTGATGTGTCATAAATAATGAAGTACTGGGGGTAAGGGAGGGAGAGGCTCAGTCCTCGGTGGCTTTACCAGAACTGGCATCTCTGAAGGAGACAAATTGCACTTTTTTAAAAAAAAGGAAAAAAAAAAAAAGAAAGCCAGTAAAGGAAAGACAGAGGCAGGAATCAGGAAAAAAGAAAAAAAAGCCAAACATATGAATGTGCCAAAATTCCTGTGGATAAGAGTTAATGATACAGCACTAAGATGGTGCTGGGGACACGGGGAGAAGGGACAGGAGGAACATGAGCAGGAAGGGAGAAGCCAGCCCATGGCCCCCACCTTTTACACAGGTGGAGATGAAGCTGCAGCACCAGGAAAGCCCCTTGGAGGATGTCCTGGTGTGTTCTGCTAATTCCCCACCACCCTTGGGTGCAGAAGCTTTCCAGGCACCCTTGGGGCCCTGAGGAAGGGCAGATCACTGAGAAGGACCAGCGTGAGGACGCCCTTCTCTGCACTGTGCTGGTGACATGGTGTTTTGCTTGGTTGTGTTCCATGAACAGGAAACTCAATTTGCATGTATAAAAACCAGGGCCAGGTGCCAAAAAGAGGAGCATGGCTGTGGTTTGTTTTTTTTTTCCATTCTCTTTAAGTTCTCCCATAGATCTCGGTGCATGGATGCACGCAGGATCGTTAGGGATCAGGGGGAAATAATTGGGCTGTAATTCATTCACACTTGCACTGTCAGGAAAGGGAGATACAGGGCCCTGTAATCCTTAATTGAATCAGAGGTGCCATAAGGACCCACTCTCCAGATGAAAAACATTAGCGTGACAGCAGCAGGTAACATTGCTGTCATCAGAACAGGGTTGTCTCAGCACACAACTGGCACTCCAGGAGGGAGGAAGGAGTGAAGGAGCATTAAATGGATTTCTTCTTCAGCTTTTGTGGGGAGCTTTCATGCTATATGAAGGCACTGTTAGATGTTTTAAGATGTGTTGTCCTAATTCCCCACCATCCTTGGACATGTGCATTTTACCTCTTTTCTGAGGGCCTGTTAGTTCCCACACAGGGGCAATTCCTACTTGAGGAATGCACATGGATCCCATTAAAACCAAGGGAGTAGGGTTTTTTAATTCTCATTTTCATGGTGAAAAGGCAAAGGAGAAATGTTAAAGGCAGTCCTGCTCATTTGAGGCAGCCCCACGGTCCCAAACTCAGTCAGATTCTGTCTGTCTTCTGAATACAGATGCTCATGTTCGTGTCTCACTCAAATGCATCAAGTGGGGTTGGAAAAGTTTTATGCTGAGGGTGGGATATTCCTGCCCAGATCATGTGTACCCTCAGAAACTGGGCTGCTGACACCCTGCTAAAAGGTGTCCTCGTGAAGGAGTGTCTGGGTCACCAACACAGGCACCTGGAGAGGGAGCTGGGCTCCCCTTGTGGAGCTCAGAGATCTCAGCTTACCGGATTTATTTCTCCACAGTGCAATGCAGTTCATTGGAGGGAAGCAGCTGCAGCCTGGTGGGGCTGGGGGTCTTTTGCCCTAAGCAAGGGATGCCAACAAACCACACTGAGCCCAGGAGGAGACTTGCAGATCCAGTTCCTTCCTGACTCCTGACAGTTCCATGCCATAACCATCCCCAGAGCCTGTTACCATCTGAGCTGGATGCTTCCAAAGTATTTCTCCAGGTGTGGGACTGAGAACAGCGTGAGGGGCTGGAGTCAATGAAGGGCCATGAGAAACTGTGATTCACCAAAGGCAAACGTGCAGTCCTGAGTTTGCAGGGAGCCAGCTCAGATCCTGTCACAGTGTGGCCATGGCTACCCAGCCTGTAGGTCCAGAGAGGATAGGAAGATGTGAAAATTCCTGGAATTACAGTGCTGGTGACCCCAGGCTGGCCAGGTGTGAGCCAGATTTGTTGTGGCTACTTTACACTGAGCCCACATCAACAGTGAGGATCCAGCTCTGCTGTGCCATAAGATCATAAAAAGGCAGCCCCCTGATTCCCAAAATGCAGAGAAAACAAGAAGATGCTCAAAATATCCCCACTTTTCTTGCATTGAAGACCTTATGCCTTGACACCTCTGAAACTATCCCATTGAAATCCACGAGGTTCTCAGAGGCAAGAACCTTTTAAGTGGTCATGGTCAGGATTCAGGAAGAGTTTGGACAATTCTCTCAGGCACTTGGTGTGATTTTTCAGGTTGTCCTGTGCTGGACCAGGAGTCGGACTCGATGATCCTTGTGGTTCCCTTCTAACTCAGGATATTCTGTGATTCTGTGATTCTCTGTGTTTGGTGCTCGTGTTGCTCTGCTGAGAGCAGACCTGGATTAGAACTCACCCAGGAAATACTGGAGAAATCCCACCAGTACCACCAGTTCTTCTCCTGTGCCTGGTTCAAAGCAAGGATTTGACCTGCATTTTTCCAGGTAATGCCTAACTTCAAGGAAGCCCAGAAGAAGCAAGGGAAAATTCTGTCTCAGCTTCCAAGTTGTTCCACTTGGTGTAAAATGCTTTGTCTCACTGGTTCAGAGTTTTGAAGCAGTGTCAGTCTGGGAAAGATTGGATTCATCAGGCTGCAAAGCCATTTTCCCCGTTCATCTGTCATGGTAAATCTTTGTACCCAACGAAACTGATGGGCTGCAGAGGAGCACGGCCCAATTTTGGGAATGCGTGCCCTGAGGTGCCTGAGGTGTGAACTGCAATTTCAGGTCCCAGAGAAGCAGCAGAGGAGCTGGAGCACAGAGCTGTGGAGCAGAAGCGCAGCACCATTGCCAGCAGCCTCCTCTGTGGGATGTGAGGGAATCCCTTCCCATCTGTTCCAGGCAGCCTTGCTGGGGGAAGGCCTGTGAGCCATCAGCACTGAGACACATCGAGCATTTTCCCTCTGGTCTTCACCTTCCCCTTCCTCTCCCCGTGCTCCCTTTCCCTCTCCATTTGCAGGGCTTTCTGCTGCGTGTTTGCAGCTTCTCTTGTGTGCCAGCCCTGTGCTCACCCGTGCCAGCACCACCATATGCCAAAGACAGCCAGGAAAGGTTTGCCTTTTGGAGATGTGACAGGGGGAAAACCCAGCTGGTTACTTGCTCTCCCCACAGGCTCCTCTGCAGCCTCTCAGATTCCCCAGTGAGCTATTCTGCACAGGAGCCTGAAGATGGGATGTTGCCTAAACTGAGGGACTCCTTCAAAAAGCGTGGAGTACATCAGCATGCCAGAACTGAGCCCCCAGGCACCCTACCCACAATTATTTCATTACTGAACATCCAGCCACATCACCCTTCTGCTCTCAGGGGGTTTGAGGGACTAAATGAACGTGCTGAATATACCTGCTGTGCCAGGCATGGCAATGGCAGCCACGCAGAGCTGCCAGCCCAGCTGCCTTGGCCTGGTGTTCCAGGAAAACAGAGGAGCTGGGGGTGAAGGCACAGCTTTTCACTCTGGGGACGTGAGCAATCAAGTGAATGATGACATTGGGCCCGGGCCCTATTTAACCGGCTTAGCGCAGGAATTTGGCTCCGTAACTTGGCCTTGTCTCCCCTGTTTCTCATCCAGCTCATCAACAAAACAGAATCCAAGGACTTCTCTGCAGATGACAGCGTGGAGCGAGCTGTCCTGGCCCCAGTGTAACACAGAGCTGGCTCCAGCAGGGCAGCTGCACCCACGTGCTGCATAACAAGATCAGAGGTGTGCCTTTTACAAGGTATTAAAACTTCTTCTGCCTCTGATAAAAGGCACAGATGTGTTTGAGGATCATTAATTTGGGCTGCAAAACTCTTTACAGAAGCAAAGCCAAATTCTGGTCCTGCTTGCACCAATCAGTTCACGGCAGTGACTCCTGAATTACACCAGCACTAAACTGGGATTTGCCTTCAAAATAATTCCTTTTTCTTCATTCTGGAGCTGTTTACTCCTTTTTTACATCAGGGATAGAGTGAGCCCCTCCTGTTCTATACTTCAGTGCTGGAATTATTAAAAATTATTAACAAGTATAGAACAATTAAAATATAAAAAATAAATTATTGTTTCAAGGTCTGGAGGTATCAGGTTCAATGCTAACATTAGACTGTAGATATTTCTGTTCAGCTGCTACCTGTGTTGCTTTGTGACCCTCTCAAAAACAGCAAGAAATGAGAATATGGCCGTGTTTAGGGTTTAGAAAAGAAATTCTGTTGCAGAATTTTAGGGGCATTAAAATCAAGCAAGTTTTTTAAAGTCAGAGGTATGTATGCAGCAGCAGCAGCATTACTGCAGTTGTGGAATGAACAGGGGGAAAGGCCAGAAGACGAAAGATCTGAGCATTTTGCTTTATTTTTTGTTTGTTTGGGTTTTTTTGCTAGGAAACAAGTTTTCTTTTTCTTCAGGAAGGTGTTTCTGGAGAAAAGACATTTTATACATGAACTAATCATCAGATTTCCTTTTTCCTCTATACCCCACCGGGTTCCCATTTGTCTCAAAAGCAATGAGGGTCGTGTCTGTGCCACAAGGCTCCATGGGCAGAGGGATTAAACCCAAATCTCTGCCCCAGTCTGATGGAAATGCCTTCAGGGAGAAATGCACCTGCTGATTAATGAAAGATTGGCCGTAGTTTTTCAAAAGCCAAGTGAAGTTCCAAAGAAAGCTCAGGACTGAATGAACACCACTTGGCTCCATGGCAGGGATTAAAGGGGTTTGGTGGGATTCTTTGGTCTCCATTCCTCCCAGCTTCAGCCCAGGGTTTAAACAATTGAAGAGGAAATATGGGGAAAGGAAATACGAAATAATTTCAGGCTAAAAGGGAATCTCTCAAACTGGGAAATGCCAACGTGTGTCTTCATGAAGCTTATCTTATTCTGACCACACAGGTACATCTTGGTTTGATAAAGGGTCTGTGGAAATCAGGAGCAATGTCCCTTCTCTGGAAGGTGAATCCAGCTGTAGCATGAAAGCCCACATAAAACATTCCTCCCTCTGTGTCCCAGCTCCTGCTTTCAGGTTGGGTGTTTAGCCCAGCCCAGGTTCTCTCCCAGCCTTGTGCTTCCCCCCATGGCATCTCTGCACCCATGAATGTGCCAAACTCCAGGGGACAGGGATTGCAATCCTGAATTCCCTGGCTCACAATGCAAATTTGCACTTTTCCCACCCCGATGCTGATGGAGCCAGCACCACAAAGCTGCTTCACTGGAGATGAACCTCGAAGATCTGGGGTCACACACACCCACAGCCATCCAGAATGACTCTGCTGGCATCATTCAGGCACTTAAACTGCTGTAATAAGGAAAAGATTCAAATCCCAGACTGGCACGTGGAGTCAGATGTCCCAAAATGTGGATTTCAAACCACTGCCTTTCAGTCAGTCAGCTTTTCATCTCCTCTCCAAACCCAGTATTTGCATATCGGTCTGATGAGGTTTAATTACAGTGACTGACCTTGTTATTTCCCCTGGAGACCTGTGCAGTTGTAAATGATGGCTTTTAACAGGAGTTTCTTGGGAGCACGGACCATCTTTTCCATCTCTT